CCTACCTTTTTGTAGTCTAGTGCGGGTACAGCCAAGGAAACAGAACATGATCATGCAGTGTGAGGAGCACTACAACAAGGTAAACTCCTCACAAGACATCTGGGGAGTCAGTGGAGGGAGGCCAGGCAGGGAAGAAAGATGGCAGAGGAAGATGGTAGGGAAGAAAGATGGAAGCCAAATGGCAGGAAGCTTAGTGATGAAGAGGAAGAGAGGAGAAACAACAGTGGAAGGTGGGGAGGGGAGACTGGTGTTGGGGGAAGGTTTTTTAAAATACTAGAAACCTTAAATTGTATGAATGCTGAGGGAAAGAGCAGTGCTAGAGGCAGGGTCTAGCTTGTATAGGGCCTTGTCAGTTTAAGCATGCAATTTATCCAATAAACAAAGAGAAGTAGCCATATAAGGGCTTTGAGCAAATAATTTGATTTCGGATTTGAGCCCCGAAATATTCATTCTGATTGCATTGTAGAGAATTGGCTGGAAAGGGGTTCATGGGTAGATTCAAGGGTTATTTAAGAGGTAGGATAGAAAATATTTGCTCAGGGATCAAATTTGATGTTTGAGGAAGAGAAACAAGGAAGCCTCAAGAATGATGCCCACATGTCTGGCATACCACCTTCGTGTAAGGTGATGGTATTCACTGAGGTAGGGAACTCCTGAGATGCACCAGGTTTTCAGGGAAACTGATACATCTCATGTTAGACATGAGGAGCGTGTGTTGTCACTGGAATGTGACAAGCGAGGATAGCCAGTAGCCACTTAGATAAGGGAATCTGCAGTTCTGGAAAAGATCCTGACTAAAGACCCAGATTTGGGAGGTGTCGGGATATAGATGGAACTTTAAAACAATGGGAGTTACTGAGACAATCAAGGAATATTGTGCTGTGCTGGAGGAAACCGCAGTGTTCAATGTCAAGGAGGCCTAGGAAAAATGTCTTCAAAGAGAGAGTTCAGCGCTTCCAAAAGGTCAGGTAAATAAGAACTGAATCCTGTCTTTTGGCCTGAGCACAGGCCTCGGAGACCTCCAGGTTCAGTAGAATGATGAGGTGGAAGCCAGATGGCAGAAACTTAGTGATGAAGGGGAGGAGAGGAGGAGTAACAGCAGGAGGGGGGACATAGGTTGGGGGAGGTTTTTAAATAAATATTGAAGAGACCTGAAATTGCATGAATGCTGAGAAGACACAGTGTTAGCAAGCAGGAGCTTGAAGCTACAAGAGGAAGAGTGAATAAGAGACACAACAAAGCCCTGGAGAACAAGGCAATGTAGAAGCCTGGTTTGGAGATGCAGGGGGGAGGAGGGACCTTTCCAACTTTAGTAATAGGAAGAAAGAGGAAAAGATAGATAAGGTTGCAGGTGAGTTCATAGATCTGGTAGCAGAAAATTGAGAGCATTTCTAACCAATGGCATCTTTTTTTTTTTTCTTCTCTATAACATCAGGAGATTGAGTGGCAGGGTCAGAATTTTGAAGACAGTAAAGAGGGTTAGAAATAGCCATGTTTGACTGGGTGCAGCGGCTCATGCCTGTAATCCCAGCACTTTGGGAAGCCAAGGAGGGTGGATCACCTGAGGTCAGAAGTTCAAGACCAGTCTGGCCAACACGGTAAAGCCCCATCTCTACTAAAAATACAAAAATTAGCCTGGCATGGTGTTGTGCACCTGCGGTTCCAGCTACTTGGGAGGCTGAGGCAGGAGAATCACTTGAACCCGGGAGGTGGAGGTTGCACTCCAGCCTTTGCAACAGAGCAAGACTCCATCTGAAAGACGAAAGAAAGGAAGAAAGGAAGGAAGAAAGAAAGAAAGGAAGAAGGAAGGAAGGAAGGAAAGAGAGAAAGAAAGAAAGAGAAAGAAAGAAAGAAAGAAAGAAAGAAAGAAAGAAAAAGAGAAAAGAAAGGAAGGAAGGAAGAAAAGAGAAAGCAAGGGAAGGGAAAGGAAAGCAAAGGAAAGGAAAGGAAAAGGAGAAGGAGAAGGAGAAGGAAAGGGAAGGGAAGGGAAAGGGAAAGGGAAAGGGAAAGGGAAAGGGAAGGGAAGGGAAGGGAAATTTTAGGAGGAACATTTTCTTTTCTTTCTCTCTAATTTTTGAACATGCACTAAAATGATTTTCAGAGAAAACAAAGTGTGATTTTCTAATATGCATGGCACTATTAAAGATGTTTACTCATCTTCCTTGGGGCCAGGCATCCCATTCCTGCAGGAAGTCTTGTGGTTAGGCGGTGGCTGTGGCTCTGGGATGATTCAGGAATGCAGACCATGCCTTATTTGCAGAGGAGGGACACGTTGCTCTCACTGGATGCATGGTCACAACTGTCTGGGTGACCTGTCTGTGGGAGGGCAGACCCCTCCTGCCAAGCCACAGTAGCAGCCGACCTGCCAGGTAAAAGCATTCCTTTGTAAAGGAGACCCTCCCAGACCCTCTGACCGAAAGGAATGGGTGGGAACTTCCTGGCACTGCAGGGTCCCTTGCCTGGTACTCCCAGTAACGGGGGGGGGGGGGGGTTGGGGGGGCAGAACTAGGGGTGGGGATGGGGAGGAGAAGCAGGAATGAGAAATTGGGAATCAGAGGGGTAAGTGGGAGAGAAGGAGGCACCTGCCGGGATAACAGGCCAGGATGAAGTAAATAGAAAATCCTCAGAGCTCCCTTGCTGGGCTCCAGCTGTGGAGAAGGGGGAGGAGAAAACCCTGTGGGACAGGGGAGGAGGGTGAGGGTTCCTCTTAGGAAGCTATTTAAGAGCCAACTGTCTAGTCTTTCCGGAGTCCGTTTGAGGAAGTCCCCGAGGCGCACAGAGCAAGCCCACGCGAGGGCACCTCTGGAGGGGAGTGCCGGCAGGTAAGCTGCCGTCCCTGCACCCTAAGAGCCAGGGGCCCGCTGCGTCCGCCTCCTGCACCTCGGTTTCCTGGGTGAACCCGCAAGCGGCTTGCTCTGGGCCCTGTGGCGCCGGTCACAGGCAGTCCCACTTGCCCGATCCTCGCTTCCCGCCCCCAACTCCGCACCTGCCCAGCCCAGCTTCTGAGCGGGACTCTCTCAGGCTCTCCACGCAGCTCTCCTGAAGCCGTTGCTTGCTTGGAAGGCCACCAAATGGGGATGGGGGAGTTGGGGGTGCCTCCTCGAGGGACAAGCCCCCTTTCCTCAGGGGAGCAGATTATGGAGCTGGAACACGAAAGGTGAGGGGAGTGGGACCAAGTGAGAACAGCCCTCCCGGCTTGGCTCCCTACTCCTGCGCATCGCCTTCCTCCATCCCAATTTGGAGCTTAACTTCAGCCACTTCTCCTCCTTAGACACGCCCAGAAGCGAGGGCTCCTGCCCGCCGCACTCACCCAGCCAGGCGTGCACCTGGGGCAACCCACTTCTTCCCCTTAGCAGTGTGTCTTCCAACACTGTTCTGCACCCCTAGCGATGCCACATCCTACCTTTGGTATTTCCCACCAGAGGATGGCTCTCTCCAGCCTTCTCCCTATCATTAACCCTTTTTCTGTCTTCTCCCTCCCTTCCCCCCTCAGCTCACCAATGACTGTCAATATGTTTATCTATACTTATGGGTACCTATTCACACCTCATGCAAACACTCCTGTCTCCTTCTCAGACCAAACACCTTAGGCGTGGTTGTCTTTTCTCTAGCATGTTGTTAGTGTTCCACATGTCTCTGGAACCATCTCTCTACTCTGGTGGCCTCTACAATGGGGACTCTTCATCTCTTGGGGGTGTGCCTGGTTTTTGAAAATAGCCAAGTCGCCAGGAGTCATGACTGGGTAATCCAGGGGATCAAGGAGGAACCTTCATTGGGCCCAGAAACAAAGTCCCCCTTCATTTGGTTAGTTGGTCAACAAGTACTTACTGGTCACTGACCTTCAGGTGTGTGTTGTTTAAACTGGCTCAGTGCCTGCACAAGCTCCAAAGGAAGGGGAAGCAAGCTTGGAGCATGGGAAATGTTGGCAACCCTGACTTCCTAAGCCTATTGATAGCCCTGTTTAAAACTGCATGCCCGGCCGGGCGCGGTGGCTCAAGCCTGTAATCCCAGCACTTTGGGAGGCCGAGACGGGCGGATCACAAGGTCAGGAGATCGAGACCATCCTGGCTAACACGGCGAAACCCCGTCTCTACTAAAAACACAAAAAATTAGCCGGGCGAGGTGGCGGCGCCTGTGGTCCCAGCTACTCCGGAGGCTGAGGCAGGAGAATGGCGGGAACCCGGGAGGCGGAGCTTGCAGTGAGCTGAGATCTGGCCACTGCACTCCAGCCCGGGCGACAGAGCGAGACTCCGTCTCAAAAAAAAAAACAAAAAACAAAAAAAAACCTGCATGCCCAACCTCTCCACCTCCTTATCCTCCTCCACGTGGTTCTGTTTCCAAAGCAGTTCCTACCTCCTCAGACCCCTAACTGGGTTTACTTATGGCTCTTCTCGGGCTCCACCCTAACCCTACCAGACTATAATCTGTCAGAGCAAAAATTCTGTTTTGTTCTCTGATGTATGCCATGTACCTAGATCACAGCCTGGCATGTTGTAGGCCCTCAATAAATATTGGTTGAATTAAATTGCAAATGTGAATGCTTTAGAAGACAACATTTATCTGGACATGGTTGTGTGAGTTTATTCTTAAAAGTGACTTATAATCTCATAAATCTCTATGAAATGAACATAGATACAGCACATGCATATGGCAGGAAAGATTTCTTGCGAAGATGCTGCTGTAGGATTATGGAAGGTGAGGGAATCCGGGTCTCCACAAATCTTTTAATTTTTATATTTATGTAAATAAACCCCTTTTCTTCTGCTTTCCATATGTTTTGGCACACACAAAATCTCCCCAGGATCCTTGGGGAACTGTACTCCGTCATTAGACTAATCCTTGCTGCCACTTCTCAGTTTTTATTTATGCAAACCACAAAATGTGTTGCTCAAGTGCTATCACACAGACATGTCTGTTGCTCTATTTTGGAATCCTTGTCTCAAATGTTACTCACTTTCCATGCCTTTTCTGTTGTCCTTTTTTTTTTTTTTTTTCTGAAGGACCTTGTAAAGTTAAGAATGTCAGAAACCTCCAGAATCGCCTTTGGAGGCAGGAGAGCGGTTCCACCCAATAACTCTAATGCAGCGGAAGATGACCTGCCCACACTGGAGCTTCAGGGCGTGGTGCCCCGGGGTGTCAACCTGCAAGGTATGAGCATACGCCCCCTCCCCACCACTCTGGGTCCAGGCACAGCTGGGCCCTGGCCCCTCTTCCCTGCAGGTAAACATCCTCTGTCTACACTGGGGTTCCCACAAAAGGAAGGCCCCTGTCAATCTCTGGTTTTATAAAGGAAGGAGGCAAAAGCTTTCTTTTAAGTGGTGAAAGCACCAGAGACCCAGAGCCTTGTCCCAGGTCTGCCACTTACTGACCTGAGGTTACACCTCAGGGAAGTTGCTTTGTCTTTCTGCCACTCAACTATTTCCTGTACAAAACCAGAGTGCTGGATTAGCTAGGGCCTCTTCCAGCCCTACTGCTCAACGCTGTAGAGAATTTTTCTCTAGCTGGAATATTCCACTTCCAAAATATTGTGGCTGTTTTGATTGTCTGGCTTGCACCTCCTTCCTTCTCCCTCCTCCCTTTTCCATCCATTGCTGTGAATTTCAGAGCCGGGGAGAAGTGCCAGACTCTGACAGTAATAGAGATAGAAGCCCTCTATTTCTCTCCAGAGCAGCCTGGTGAGCTGGCAAGGCAAGCTGCTTCCCCAGCCTCTTGCCTCTGCCTGATCCCTAGAAACCTGCTCCGGGTACAGCAGCCAGCAGTTGACCTCCTCTCAGCCCTGTCAGCGGTGACAAGGCCCAGGTGCCAGCACTGGTTTGGTGATACAGACATCATTCCCCTGGGCCACAACAGGGACATTCAGACTCATGTCCCCGAGTGGCATAGCATTCATGCACCAACATCCAATTTTACTCCTAAGGGTGTTCTGTGCTGGGTTTCACTGGGGATAAAACATCCATTTGCTGGGATAGGTGAGCATGGTCATGCTGGAGCTGTGTGGTTGATTCCTCTCGTTAGAAGGAGACCAATGCCTGAAAGCCCAGACTGATGCATCGCTCCATATAGCAAAGGGAAAGGGGATGTACAGTTTATCCAGCAAGCCAGACACTTGCCCAGGTGTTGTGGACTGGTATCACTGTGTTACTATCACACTAGATGATTTGATATCAAATAGTGAAATCAGGGAGGTATCCAGTACCATCCAAGTTTGGGAAAAGAGGTTCACAGAACAGAAGGGCATCTTCAGTCAGGTGGTAGAGTTTGAGGGGCTAAGATGAACTTGTAGTTCTGAAGTCTCTCTCCCAGCTGGGTGCCACTCTTTAAAACCCAACCATGACAGCCACAGAAGTGGGTTTAAGAGAACTTGCTAATCAACGAGTCCTCATCCTCATGTTATAGGTTAGGAAATAGAGGCTGAAGGTAAGCAGTTGATATTCACTCCTTGCCCAGTCTATGAGTCTTTTTCTTTAAGAATGCAAATAAAATTGAAAAGCCTACAGACATCAAATTATTACGCAGGTTGCCTTTGTGTATTCCATCTTCTAGCAAAATTCCCCTGTGGCACAAAAGACTCTGGGCCCCTGGAAAGGGGGTGCAGGTACTGGGAGAAGTGGGCAGTAAGAACATGAGGAGTAATGACACAGCTGCCCTTGCCACATGAGGAGTCAGGACACAGCCACGCTTGCCAGGATTGGTGGGGAAAAATGGGGACCTCTACAAAGGCAGTGCAGGGAAGCAGAGAGCAGAGGCAGAAGACCTGGCTTCCTGCTCCACATCTGCCCCTTCTTGCTCATTCTGGGAAAGTCATATAGGTGCCCAAGCCTCAGTTTCTCCATCAGCAAAATGGAAGCAATGCCTGCTTCACAGATTGTAATGAGCATCTAGTGAGCAGTGTCTATGATCATGTCTGACCCACAGCACATGACCAATAAGTGTTCATTGACTGGGAACGTGCAATTTATCATACCCCAGCGAGGTCAGGAAAACACTCCAGGGAATGCCTGTTCCTATGGGGAATATGTACAACCTGTAGCCCCCATAAATCTGACATCTGAACAAAATGCTGCAAGACATAAAAACTGTCAGAGAACATGTGCGGGTAGGCCAATGAAGAAAAAAAAAATCTGGGGTTACTGCTTTTGTTGATTTCTGGAGGCAGAGGTGGGGAGCAGCATAACTGAACTATTCTGAAAAATTAGTCATTATTTATTTTGCAGTCATATGTGTCCACAACCCAAGTGACATTCTGGAATATCCATTAGAGGCACTGGCAGAAGAGTGTGAATGTCCAGTGACTGCAGAATGAATGAACAAACAGTCAATCACTTGTGAATTGAATGACTCAGATCTAGTGGCATTATAATTTATTATTAATAACGAGCTCCAGATTTCATACATATGCATTCATTTAATATTTTTCACACAGACAAGATAAGTGTTACATGCTCTGGGGATATGGTTTCTGAAGGCCAGAATCATGACAGCAAGTCCCAGACGAGGACAGGAAAAAACCTGTCCACACACACATATACCAGCACACAAACCATCGGAACAAGGAGGTCTATCTCCTGGTTACCCTTTGCATTTCATATTTATGTTTAATTGTTCTAAAAACAGGTTTTCTGGCACTATATATCAAGTTTTCTCCCTAAGGGACGAAATTTGCTAAGCGACTAAACCTTGGAAAGCATAGTCATTCATTCTTAAAATGCCATCTTCATGCAGTTCACCCAGTGGCCACTAGTGGCCTCTAAGAAGCCTTGTATCCGTGGTCACCAATCTGCGGATGATGACTTTGGCTCCGGAAACACTAGCCCCAAGTGAAACTCTTGTCTCCATTTTTTTCAGTGGCCACTCTTCCCGTTAGCAAGCTGCTCTTGTAATATTGACTGAGAAATGCAGAGAGGCAAGAAGAGGAAGCGGGGGGAAATGGCTGGTTTTTCATTTCTAATAGTTCTGTAGCAGTGAGTCCTGCCCATCACTGTGTGTGATATATACAATGTTATAAGGTATACTGAGTGTATATAGTACCCTTAAGTCATAGCTTTGGTAACATTTGGTTAAGAATTATTTTGGTAAAGTCTATATTTTAAAATGTATAAACTCAGGTAAGTTTCCTCTCATGCACACCATGATATTCAAGAAAAAAATGAAATATTTGAGGTGGGCACTGAAATCCCAGTGGTGGGACCAGCCAGTCAGTGGTAGCGTTTGACATCCTTGCATGATTTTAGGCATCCTTAATGTCACCCTTTGAATTCAGTTGTAGCCAGGAAAGGTACTGAGACGATCTCCTCAGATTTGGATTTGTATCAGTTTCTAACAGACCACTCTGCAGGCTTAGTTGGTGTTTCTGAAAAATCTCTCCACTGCCTTCCTGGTCTGAAAGGTTATGTGTAGCCGGAAATGTAACATTCCAGAAGAAACCTTATGTTGTTGGTCTGGTTTGGCTTTATATTGTTAACAATAGGTGACCATTTGTAGCAGCAATTGGAACCATTTGACAGTTCTAATGTATTGAATTAAAACTCGACAGCAAGCCTGGCTCTATGAAAAAATTAAACGTAGGTGGGTTCTAGTAGTTTTTCAGGCTAATGGGGTCTTATACCTTCCTGAGACTCTCCTCCATCCCACCACTCCTTGTCAGAATTAAATCAACCAATTAATGATAAGCCTCCTCTTTGTGCAGAGTAAACCTCTCTAGATTGAAGGTCACTGAGACACTTAGAGGCATTCAATGTATGACTGAGAAATGTCCAGCAGCAGTTCCTCCTTTCATTGAGTTCCTGGAAAAATATACACTTGTTTTCACATATGTGTCAGGATCTGCTCCAGGTTCTCCCTGAGGACATAAAGTTGAGTCAGTCAGTCCCTAGCCTCAAAAAACTGTCAGTGTAGAGACAAAATAAATAAAAGATCATTGCAATTCAGTGTAATAAAGACTGTGACTGTGATGTATGCAAATTTCAGTGAAATAACAGAAATCAATGTCTAGTGGTGTGGTGGAGTGGGGAAGAGGATGAGGAGGGCTTCTTGATGCAAGGATATTGGAGCTGGGACTTAGAGGATGAGTAGGAGTGTTCCTGACAGGCGAGCACATGGAAAAGTGTTTGCAGTAGAGGGAACAGTATGTGCCAAGTGAGGGGTGACTAAAAGAGGAAAGAGAAGATATAAGCCTGGGAAAATATGGCAGGTATCACACCATAACAAGGCCTTGGGGATCTAGGTTTCCTCCTGCAGATAATGGGGGACTTGAGAAGGATTCTAATTAGCAGAAATACATCATCAGAATTATGCTTTACAAAGTGGTAAGGAGGGCTGGGCACTGTGGCTCTTGCCTGTAATCCCAGCACTTTGGGAGGCTGAGGTGGGCAGATCACCACTAGGTCAGGAGTTCGAGACCAGCCTGGTCAACATGGTGAAACCCTGTCTCTACTAAAAATACAAAAATTAGCTGGGTGTGGTGGTGGGTGCCTGTAATCCCAGCTACTTGGGAGGCTGAGGCAGGAGAATCACTTGAATCTGGGAGGCGGAGATTGCAGTGAGCCAAGTTTGTGCCATTGCACTCCAGCCTGGGCAACAAGACCAAGACTCCGTTTCAAAAAAAAAAAAAGGTATAAGGAGAAAATGAGGAACAGGAGATACATTTGGACACTGTGGAGATACTCCAGGCTAGAAGAGGAATAGACCAGAGGGATTTTAGCCCCTGCAGGTATGGGGCTCATTTCTCTTGTTCCAGCTTCCTCTGAGCACCTGAGCAATGCTTCAATGTTATAGGGTCCAGGACGTATTAATAGCAACACTTTATAAATTAAGCGACTTAAGAAAATGTTTTTAATCATTCTAATTAAGGACACATTAAAATTCTGGGTACCCAAAAGAAATGTGAGAAAGAGGTCTTTTTCCTGTTTGTTTTTTTGTTAAATAAACAAACAAACCAGTTTCTCTTGGATAGCATTTATGCTTATAGTTTAGTAATACTATTACCAAAAATTGCATGGAGAATTCAGTTCACCAGGGAATTCCTAGAATATAAACCTAAACATTTAACTTATCTCAAGATCCCATCTGTGACAGGTATAATCATTCTCTGAAGAATATTTTACAATCTAGGGAGACAATAATTTACATTTTTTCATATTAGAGAAAGA